GTAGCTCATGCGGGCTTCTGTGAGCGGGATTTGACCCAAACACGAGCGAGACAGTCGAGCAGGTATTTTTAAAAGCCGTGCATCCTCTCCTGGTAGTCCAGGTGGCGGTTCTGATCCGGTTCCGACCCAGAAACCAGCTGGCCCGCTGAGCCGCGTGTCTCTTCTGGTGGTTGGTTCTGACGGTGATCGGAGCTCCAGAAATCCACATTTAATTTTTATAACACCGCCTCGGGTCTCCGGAGCCCAGCGCGGACCTCCCTGACCCGGTGCCGACCGATGCGGCCTACAGAAGTCTGTCTTCCAGCTGCAGAAACGCCCTCAGGTACGGAGATAGAGGCGTTGTTCCTCTGGTCTGGAAACCCGTGGACTCGATGTCCAGACAGGCTGGAGTTGGTACCGCCTTCACACACACTAGTTTATCAACTTGAACACAACCCAACACTAGTAAACACACACTGACTGGATCACATGACCTCTCTACCCTAAAACTAGCCACTCTTCACACTGAGCTGAGGCAGCCGAGCTTCTGACTCCCTTTGGTTACGTCAGAGGTTCACATTTAGAAACGAGCTTAGCTGAGAAAGGTCTAGTTCTGCTAGAAATCTCTGCTGCTATGTATTTTAAAACCAAATATCCACAATAAGCTTTTTAAATAGTATTTTTTGGACAGAGTTTTATATGAATTAGTAAATAATTTAACCTGCAATTTGCTCTTCATCCCTTTTCCACAAAGTATTCACAGCTGGAGATGGGCGCCAGCTCCCCTGTGCATGGATGGAAATCTACTTTACCGTTGTTGTGACAACCACTGAGGGGCAGTCGAGGCAGGGCCAGATTAACACTTTGTTGTACCCTGGGCAACAATATTAAAGGGCCCTATCATCACGCCCCAAGGATCACCATAATATGGTCACATACAGAATATTTTACTGTAATATGCAGTAAATATACTCAATACATGAATGACTGAAATCACGTAACCGCTCAGGGTAACCTTTGACCCACCTCGTGTGGACTGACCAATGAGGAGAGGGTCTTAACTTGAGGCCCTCTCTTCATTGGTCAGTCTGCATGAGACTGACTCAACTGACGTTCAGTCATAGGCATCGAAGCGTCTCTGTGCAGCGCAAAAGCCCGGGTGGACAGTTTGTTTAATTAAGGGTGACCATATTTCCATTTCCAAAAAAGAGGACAGGGGATCTGTGCCTATGACATCACACTATGGCAACGCCTCACAAACCACGTTGGGACCCATTTTTTGTAAGAAATAAATTAATATCAGATTCTACCAATGAAGGGGCTCTAAAACAATTCATATGTAAATATTTAGCATATTTATTGAAAAATCTAATTTTTCTGCTTTAGTGCTGCAACAAGGTTTTATTAATAATAAATTATTATACCTTTTGTTTTACTACAGCATCGGTACGCTTCCTGTGCACAGATTATTAAGGATGCTTGTTTCAGCTGTGAGATTAGACGATAGGATCAATGAAAAAATAAGTTGTCCCACACTCCATGGAAACTTTCAGAGAATCCACAAATAGTGGCTTTCAAATGGTTTTGTTACTTTTTGCAAGTTTAGAAAAGCAGCAGATGAGACAGCATGTCTGATAATTTAGTTTTTCATCTGATAATATTAGAACATGTCTGTAATGTCTGAGGGGCTTTTATAAACACCATATAACTAACACTACTGGAGAGGGTATGAATTACACATAGGCTTCTGGGGAGCCCAGTTATGGGGGGGTCATTTTGCCTTGGCACCCAAAATGTCTTGAAACAGCCCTGGCTGTGTGACTTGAGTTTTGAAGGTGATCTGAATTGTATCAGATGTATAAACATTACATGTGTATAACTTATTGTTTTATACAGGTAAAAATGTGTAGTGGAGATAAATCTACCTGCATTTTACTTTTAGTTTTGTTTTCTTGTTTTTATTTAACTATTTTCCTGTCCTGTCTGTCTCTCATCTTCCTGCATCTCCTCTAAACTCTCCAGAAAACCTGCTGCCTGGATTCTTACTTTTTCACCTCATCAGTTACTTTTGAGCAGATCAAAGGGATCTCCTGACCGAAAAGTGGAGAGCGCGTTTCAATGCTGCGTCAGTGAGGTGAAATCACCGCAGCACAGGTGACGAGCTCCGCAGTAGCAGAGCGCTTCAGGCGCAAATGAGACAGAAAATAGAGAACATGTGCGGACATGAACGATCGTGTGTTAATTATAGTTTTTTGGTTGCGCCACTTTGAGAATGGACCGTGCGCTGGAAGCAGCAGCCTGGAGCGCTGCGCAACAACGCGCTGTGCTCTCTGCTCAGAAGAGTCCATAAATGATGTAAAATAGGTAGAAAACGTTTTTCCGGCTCCCCTGGATGTGTAGGATATACAGCTCCCCCATAATTCGATCCCTGCTCCTGGATGAAAAGCCCGACATTTTCATCAATACAAGAACCCCCCAGTCCGGACGCCCCGGACAGAGAGTGAAAAGTGGACATGTACGGGGAAAACAGGACGTACGGTCACACTAGTTTAATATAAAGCGGGAGATTACAGATACAGTATTTTGCTCGTGCCCTTGCTGCCCTGGGCCCTTTAGAGTTCGTGGGCTCTGGGCAATTGCCCAGTTGCCCAAATGGTTAATCCGGCCTTGAGTAGAGGACAAGAGAAGGAGTGAGGGAGTTAAGATAGATGCCTGATACTGGAACATGTGACACAGGTTTGAATAAAGCGTGGAAAAGTAATTCTTGTCTATTCGTGCTACTTTGTGAAACGGCCGACCATAACAACCATAAACAGCACTACATTATTACCTACACTCAACAAAAATATAAACGCAATAACTTTGTTTCTGCTACGATTTTTCATGAGATGGACTTAAAGATCTAAAATTCATTCCAGATACACAATATTACCATTTCTCTCAAACATTGTTCACAAATCAGTCTAAGTGTGTGATAGTGAGCACCTGTGCTTTGCTGAGATAATCCATCCCACCTCACAGGTGTGCCACATCAAGATGCTGATCTGACATCATGAGTAGTGCATAGGTGTACCTTATACTGCCCACAATAAAAGGTCACCCTGCATTTAACACATGCAGTGCACAACAGTTCAATATCAAGGCAGCTTAACTGTTTTTTTTTATTATTTGTTATAAATCTATAATGCAGTAAGCAATAAAAATGGTTCCCAAATTATATTTTACTATCAATAATACAGTCATTTTGATCTGTATAAAAATGGATAAGAGTAACTGACAATGATGTTTCTCCTACCTGACGAGAGAGCAAGGTGGCAATTGCAGGCTGTTGATCAAGGAAACGTTCGGTCATTTCGTATGCACTGTTCCATACGTCGGTCTTCAGTTTGTGCTGTTTGAGACCAAGCAGCTTTTGGTTCTCCTCTAGCAGGTGGAGTCCGGTAGTACTACGGTGAAAAAACGTAGAGATCCTCCTGATCCTCGCCAGAAGCTTTGCCACAGCTGCCAGCTTAAGAGCTTTCTGTGAGGCCAAGTTGGCAGTGTGAGCATAGTATTTCAGGTGCACGTACTTCGTCTTCTGAGCTGCCACGACCATGTTGCTGGCATTATCTGTCACCAAAACCAAGTCTTTATCTGAGATCTGCCATTCTGCCGCAGCTTTCTCCAGCAGCTCACCAACATTTGCCCCGGTGTGACTCTCACTCATCTCTCGAGTTTGAAGAACGTGACTCACCAACTTCCACCCGTTCTTGTCCGACGCGAGAACAAAATGCGCCGTTACAGTAACGAAGGATTTGGTGGCAACCGATGTCCATGCATCGCATGTGAGCGCTATCCTGCCTTCTTCAGGGACTCCAGAATGCTTGCTTTGGTTTCCTTGTAGAGGCGGGGGACTTCTTTTTCTGAGAAGTGTTTTCGGTGAGGATGTTTATAGCGCGGCTCCTTGGTGCGCACCACTAACCGAAACCCCCTGTTGTTTACTACTGAATATGGGCGTAGATCCGTCGCGATAAAAGTAGCTATTGCTTTTGTAATGCTCCTTGCCTTCTCTGAGTTTTTTGGTAGCTTGGAGACAGTCTCCAGGATGGTCCTCTGTTTGGCGGGCATGGCCGGAGGTGCATTCTCGGTTTCCGGGTGAAAGCGTACAAGGTGCTACCTCATGTTTGTGGTGTTGCTGAGATATTTTTTTTTGGCTTTGCAGATTTAGCAAATTGCATAAGATTTGTCGATTGTCTTATTAGCATTCTCATAAAATCTAAAGGACTTCCACACACTTGCAGTTAACCCTGGTACGGAGAGAATCGGCCGCTCTCCGGAGATTGCTGAAGCTGCCGCCATTTTGCAAAGAGGTCAAAGAGGTAGTGCCACTCACTTAACAGTCTGGGCGACGCGCGCGTTCAGGCTCCGGTTACGTGTTTTTATTTTTTTTAGTACTGGCTTCGCAACAAAACTTTGATGTTATGTTTTTTTAAGCATCGACGTTCATTAATCGATGCCGAAACAACATGTTAAGCTTTTAGATGCATCGCCACATCGATTAATTGCACCCACCCCTAGCACCACTCACCTGCTCTCCCTCTCTCCTGTGCTCATCGCTGGCTTTGATCTGCAGCAGCATGAACTTCAGTACTTCAGTCATCAGGTTACAAGGAATCTCCTCTCCTGCATCCATCAACGCTTTAGCAGCCTCAGTGATCTACTCATGACGCTGACATCAGCAAATCACACACTGTAGGTAGAAGTCCTCACAGATCCCACACATCCCTACCTCGTAGAACATGGGAAGATGATCGGATTTCTTTGCTCTAGGATTTCCCAGTTCACGTATCTGTAAATAAAAGGTTTATTAACAGATAATAAAGAAAAGCCCATTTTACAAATATGTTTATACTAAATTATGATTAAATTAAACTGTGATTTGCGTGTGTGTTAATTTATTTTAGAAAACAACTTTGTACTTACAAAACAAAAATGACTATTTTATGGTAAAGAAATGCTAATAAATTTGCTAAAACAGACAAAGCAGATCTATGGGAGACCTAGGCAGGGTGTGGAATTTGAACAGAAAAAACGTGCAAATGCCAGATATAAGTATGCTGTTCGTTTTATATCAAAAAATGAGCAGATCATGAGGGCAGATTCAATGGCCAGGAAATTTATGAGTCATGATGTCAAAGGTTTTTGGAAAGATGTGAAAACAGTTAATAATTGCAAATCATCTCTACCAGGTGCTGTTGAAGGTGTTTCTGGGGAAGATAATATTGCAGCATTATGGAGACATCATTATTATGCATTGTTTAATTGTTTAAAAAGTGATCAGCATGAGGATGGCTCTGTAATTAATGATGAATCTATATGTGTAACGACCCATGAGGTGCATGATGCTATTCACAAACTAGCTGATAATAAGGCTTCTGGTCTGGATCACATTAGTGCAGAACATTTGAAATATGCTAGCCAAAGACTAGCTCCCCTTTTAGCTCTATGTTTTACAGGGTTCATGATTCATGGCATACTACCACTCAATGATGGCAATTCTGCTTGTTCCAGTCATTAAGAACAAATCTGGGAAGGTGACCAGTATGGATAATTATAGGCCGATTGCACTAGCCAGTGTTTTATCTAAAGTTCTTGAAAGAATCATATTTGATAGAGTCACTGTGTACCTCAGTTCCTTGGATAATCAGTTTGGCTTTAAGCCAAAACATGGTACTGACATGTGTATATACGCACTTAAAGAAATGGTCAATTGGTACAGAAATAGAAATTCTTCTGTCGTTATGTGTTTTATTGATGCTTCTAAGGCTTTTGATCGTGTAAACCACAGAAAACTTTTTATTAAGTTAAAGCTACGGGGGGTCCCTGGGTTTATTGTGCGAATCCTGTCTTACTGGTATGCTCATCAGAAGATACAGGTTAAATGGGGTGCCAGCATCTCTGCACCATTTGGCGTTAGTAATGGTGTTAGGCAGGGTGGAATTCTGTCTCCTATCTTATTTAATCTGTATGTTGACGATCTGTCTGTGCAGCTCAAGAGCCTGTAACACAGGATGTTTGATGGGTACAACTTTGATCAACCATCTGATGTATGCTGATGATCTGGTGGTCTTTAGTCCAAGTAGTGCTGGTTTACAGCAGCTCCTGAATATCTGCTCTGAATATGGTGTGCAGTACGATATTCAGTATAATGCTGTTAAAAGTGCTATCTTGATATGTAGAACCAAGCAGGATAAAAAGCTAAACTTTCCTGTGTTCAAACTGTCTAATAGTGATCTTAATGTGTGTGAGAAGGTGAAATACCTTGGCCACTTTATAACTGATCAAATGCGTGATGATGCTGACATCCACAGACAGTGCTGTAAGCTGTATGCACAAGCTAACACTATAGCTCGTAAGTTTGGTTTTTGTTCACCTCCAGTTAAGGTGGCTTTATTTAAAGCATATTGTACTCCGCTTTACACAGCCCATCTGTGGTCATCCTACAATCAAAGCAGCATGAACAAGCTGCAAGTTGCATTCAACGATGCCTTAAGGATCATACTTAAAATACCCAGAGGGGGCAGTGCCAGTCAGATGTTTGTAACAGCAGGTGTTTGTACTTTTAAAGCTCTTTTAAGAAAACTCATATTCACTTTTATAGGCCGACTGGATAGCTCTGCCAACAGTATAATTTTAGCAATCACTGATCCTACTGTGAGCAGTTGTCGCTATTTCTCCAGTATAAGGAAATACTGGTTGAAGTGTTTGTGTGGTTAACCTTGTGTGGAACAGTTTATAGTAAAGCTTTTAATTACATTTAGATTTTTATTCAATTTTATGCTGTTATCTTTTTATTCTATTTATCTATTTTGTTTCATTGATCTGTTGTTTTATATGTATTTTATCTGGACCTAAGAGTCTGTCAATAAAGATTATCTATCTATCTTATCTATCTATCTATCTATCTATCTATCTATCTATCTATCTATCTATCTATCTATCTATCTATCTATCTATCTATCTATCTATCTATCTATCTATGAGTTTCATTATCTTGTTTTTAATTATTTTTTCACACTAACAGATAAAATGATACCTTCAGGAGAACGTTGTCCCGGGATAGAATGGTGAAAAGTTTCCGTTGTGGCTTGAGCACGGCTCTAGCCAGGGGGCTGATGAGCTGCTTCTCTTCCTCTGGACTCCTCCCGACTAGCAGAGACACGCAGGCCTGCCACGAGTCCTGGTCACGAGCAGCTCAATTGAACAATGACTAATGCTACTTAGCATCTGCTTCCATCAAAGTTAATATAAGAAGGTCTGGCCGGAGTTCATGTAATAAATCGACCTAAAACTGGTTAAAATGTATTTTACATAGATTATTTCCCATTTAAAAATGGCGATTAGAAACTGCGCAATCAATGATAAACTTCCGGTTTGCGCGTTTGAACGTTCTAAATGAAATACTACCAATTCCTCTGTGTAGCTTTAACTATTTTCTTTTATTTTTTTTAGCTAACAGAAGCCATTTGAGGGCAACAGGAATATCGGTGTTAAAAAATATCAAACGGATAAGTTTGGAACTTCACAAACCTCGTGGAACTGAGCTTTGATGAGCTCCGCCTCAAAGGTCTTGTTTCCAGCTAGCCTAGGCTAGTTTCCAACCGGAGTCCCAGGGGTGGTCCTCGGCTTTTTAGCCGAACCCTTTTTACCAGCCTGCATTTTTACTGCTGGTAAAACATAACTGAGCAACTATGATACGAAACGATTTCAGTTAGATTAGCGCCTTTGTTTACGTCGGATCGATCTGGCAACTACATTGATCAGGAAACACACCAGCCCACTTTCACAATAAAAGCATAAAGATTCATGTTTTACGCATTTAAATGTTAAACCAAGGTGCATTTCTGTTATTGGTGTGAAATTATGGAATGAGCTCAATGATGACGTGAAGAAATGTAATGCTACATCAAAAATTTAAAGCATAATGTGAAAAGTATGTGTAAAACATGAATGATTTGATTTATGTATTTGAAAGAAATATATTTAAATTGTATATAATGAATTAATAATATAGCACATGCATACCTAGGGCTGGCCAAAGTACGCACTGTTTCTGCCTATTCCTTTTTTGGTTGATGATGGGGTTAGGATTAGGGTTTATCCTGATCTATCTCTGGAGTCTGCCATAGACTTAGACTGCTGGAGGACATACTGACCACTTTTCACACTCTGCTACTCTATTACTTCAACTGTAAACTAAATTTCCTTTTTAAATGTTTTTCTCCTCAGAAGAAACTACACTGGTGTTCTGCTGAGCTGTGGTGGCCGCATGGAGGCTCATTCAGTTGGAATGTTTTACAGAGAGTGATCTGGCACTATATAAACAAACTGAACTGATCTGAAGTGAATAAGGACTTGACAGGCAACTTTCTGTTATGGAGGAATATCCCACAATTATCCATCGGGGATGATTAAAGTTTTTTTTAAATTGAATTGAATTGAAATGTCAACAGAATGATTTGATTTTAGATGCTGTCATAGAAATGAGGTGTCATGGTTTGACACATGCTGGTTCTCTTGGTTTATTCATTCTGAACATGGAGGAGGAGGAGGCGGGCCATGATGGAGGACTTTGGGATGCAGGATGTTCAGTGAGGGCAGACTTAATCGGCCCCTGCCGGTGTTTTCTGTTGACCAAGCTTTTATGTTGTGTTGACGTCTCTCAGTAGAGTGACAGGCTGCATGCAACAGGCTTTTATTTCTATAAAGAGAATGAATGGCTTTGTGTAGTTTAGTAGATAATCGAGAACCTTTTAGACTTTGGTCGTCTGATAAGTGTGGGACTGCTGGACAACATGTGGACTTTTATGGGTTGGTCAACATAATTGTAGCCAACGAGAATCACTTTCTCTTTATGGGCTCCATCATGCCTCAATAAAAAAGAAGAACATGATGACCTCCTACGTCGCTGAACTCTGAGCTGAAACAAGAGTGTGAAGGGTGGTGTTTGTTTTCAGTGTGTGTTCACCTGGAGGGGTGTGCTGATGGTCTGTGGAAGGCTGAGCGTTATGAGGTCATTGGTGACGTCTAGGCTCATTAGTCAAGAAGTGCTTTGAGGTAATGAGTGCATCTAATTTAGTATTGACACCAGAGTCAGTGTGAAATAAGACAAAAGGTTTTAGTGTTTTTACACAATTAAAGTCATTTATATACAAATGGTTTAATATCAAAGCAGTTGAATTGCTCCAATTTCGTTTTCCCTGTAATCCTGAGAGATTATGGGTAGCAATTGACCCATATATCGGGCTGGTCTTTACCACGTTTTTGTATAGACCCTTTTACTACCTACGTCATCAAAAGTTGCGCGCGCAGCCTGGCAACGAGAGTGAAGGCTTCCTCATTCACACTCGATACTAAAACAGCGTTTTAAACCCTTTGTTTTGAAGTTCTGAGCACATAAAAATGTCGGGTTGTTGCGTGTATGGATGCCAGAATTGCTTCTCTTCAAGCAGTGGACTGAAACTTTACAGAATTCCGAAGGGAGCACATCCATTTCAACAAAATCGGAGGCGTCTGTGGCTGCAGGCCATCAAAAGGGTTGATGAAAACTGGACTGAAAACACGATCCGAAATGCTCGAGTTTGTAGCGCCCATTTTATATCAGGTAAGGTAATTATGTACTAAGATTACATATAAATTTATACGCTTTATTTCATGCTTCAAATTAACGTTTCATTCTAATTCATCTGTATTTTCCCACTGCATATTAGTATAAACTGTATTTCTCTAAAATTAACACAATTGTACTCTGAGCACGCTAAAAAAAAGAAACCTATGCTATACTCACCCTGCCATGCAGGTACGTAGTTCTCTGGTTTGTTTACTATGACCCAAGCCTCGTACGTAGCAGTCTTGTGTCCTTGTCTTTGGCTAGGAAGGACTTCTGCCTTCAAGACGCAAAACTCAGAGTCTATGTCGTGATATTTTACTTTCTGTACGTGGCCACAGACAACATAGTTGTATGCATCTAACGATTTGTATGCCCGTAGCTTCTCACGTGTGTACTTACTGGGCCTCTCCACTAAAAACGTGTATACATCGGGCCACTGGATATCTGGCCACGCACCTACTGTACATCTTCCACCCATTCCGTAATGCCACAGGGATCCGGGAGTCTGTTGCCATTCGTTAAAGTGAGTTTAATAATATAACATTCAAGATTTGCCGGTGATAACCCCGCAGCGTAGCTTGATAAAGCCTGACGCAACGCCATTCTCTGTTGCCAAGATGCGCGCGCATTCTCGCTGACGCCATATTGCTTACAAACAGTAAAAGGGTCTATTAGCATCAACCAATATAGCTCTTTAGTAGAGTAAAGTCAGACGCATCCCAGTTCTGCTGCCAAATTCTTTTTTAATGTATATTTGCATTCCTACCGCTGGAGATAGGCACCAGTCCCCCCCCCCCCCCCCCCACACACACACACACACACACACACACCCTCATTCCTCTGACACTCAGCCACCAGATCAGCATCCTTGGTGTTTTTTCATTCCTGTGTTTCCTCCATCCGATCCTCCCAGGAGACAGTTGGCTCCAGTAAAATCACCTGCTTGCTGCTCCCAGACATTAAGTCCACGTCTGGCCGAAGTGTGTTTCTGCAGTGATGTCCAGGAATCACAACTGTCTACCAAGGACAAACACTAGTTGCCAGTCCTGTGCTGTAGCTAGCAAGCCCCCTAGTTCTTGGTGGTGGTGGTGGGTGACTGCGGCTTCTTGCCCACTTATTGATGTAGATGCCTGTGGACAGTGTCTGGCACTGCCCATAACACCTGGTCATGGCACCAATAATACCGACCATCTCCCATGGCCTTTGGGCAGAAGCTGAGGATGTGTTCTACTGTTCCCTTTCCCTGGCAGAGTAGGAAAGTGAGAGAGTCTATCAAACTCCAGGTGAACTTCATTACACTGACTGGACTAAAAACTTGATGCAGTATGGCTCTGCCTTCTATAGGACATGGGGTTAATGCTGCCTGAGAGGGTCACTTAGAAGTGTGTCAAAGAGGACTTTCTTACTGAGGTACAGCAGGATCTCAGTTGATTCATCCTGTATTCTCTCATGTTTCACCAGTAATGTTAAGTTTGAGAAGGCTGAAGTCTTTCCTTTTGGCTTTCAGATTCAAACAGTTTCCTTGTAAAGGGGGAGGAGAAGGATGTTCTCTGGGGTGCCTCCTAGTTACCCATGTATGATTATTCTGCCAGTTATCCTGCTGATTCCTTGTAAATTTGTGGATGTCTGATCGATTAGAGGATGATTAGTTCTTTTTCTTTCTACAATATGTAATGATTTAAATTACATGTTATTTAATAAGCCATAAGATGTAGGATTCCATAGTAAATATGAAATCAACCTTATGGATCTGTTGGGTTATTTAAACCAGAAGATTGGAACTTTTTATTGCAGGGATTAGATAACAGCTTCGTATTCACTCAGAGACAACAGAAGAGAGAGAGTCAAGTTTAACAGTTTAAAATTTTATTACTAACAAATTAAACTAGACTGACTTTAAACACTAAATGTATGGTGTAACTAAGGTGGATGAGACGGTGAATGGGGTGAGGTGTAATGTTGCTCAGAACCAGCAAATCCGAAGCTGCGATTAGTTCTGATGGGAAATGAAGGTGATGTCTTCGCGTTAAGCTTTGGTTAGGAGATTCATAAACACATTCAACGCCATTTGTCGGCCTACATACCCTTAGCGGAAGTCCCCGTTAGATCAGGAATGTCGAGGTCCAGCTTGACCTTTTCTGAACGGAAGCCGGTAGGAAAAGCAGCGGTTGCCAACCAGACCAGTCTGTGAGATACTCCCGGGTCACGACGGTTTTGTTGGCATCGTGCGAGACCCAAACCTGGGTCATGATGGTTCAGCTTTTATTCTGAAAGGAACCATTGCAGCAGTTGGAACAGCAGCAGATTTTATCCAGCTTGTCGTTGGTTCTTTCGGCTGAAGAGGAAAGTTACGGATTGGCCACTCCGACAACTTCTCTAGAACGCTTTGAACTGGCGTTAAAGATGACATGGGCTTAGTTTTATACTTTGGATGTTTTGGTTTATGGTCGAATGAAAAGGTGACAGATTTACCAAACACCATCAAAACCACGCCTCCGTCAGATCTGGCAGAATCTGATTGGATCTGTGAAAGTAATGTGTCATGTCTTTTAACGCTACGTGAGATCAGTCCTGTTGGAACATTTAAAGTCATATTACTTATTATATTCTATAGGATTATAATAAAGTAATTAATATTATGATTTCACAGATCGGTCACATTTTATTTATTGACTAACACTTTTTTTTGATTAGCTTTATTAAAATAGAGTTCTTTGATTACTTAAAAGGAGAGAGTCCATTCTTCATTCTTCTGTTGAGCTGAAAAAAAGCAGTTTAGAAGCAAATGCATGAGACCTTGAGGCCATATCTCATGCAGACTAGTTCTGTGTCAGAGGAGAGGGGTAAAGTGACTTTTTGTCGAAAACAGTCATGTCATTCTGTTACATATCCCCCCTTTTCAATGGTACAGTGGTCTGTGCAGAGACCACCTGGCGTTGAACAAACCAGAGTCCTAAAGGGACTCCAATGACAGGGGAAAGTGTAGTTCCCCCGGAAGAGGCCAACAGTGGTGAGGTACGAAGCCCACTCCGAAGAACAGTCTATGGTTTCAACAATCTCGCATAATCCCTTCGGAAGCACACAAGTCAGCAGGTTATTAAGGTATCCACGTGGAGGTAATATTTGAAGCAGGAGCAAAACTTTATGTATTCACTAGTAGGGAATACTTCCAAAACAGTATATTGATCTTTGTAATTGCACTTATCGTGATCCAGTGTGGGAAAGAGCAGCAGGCAGGTCAGGTCCCAGTGAGCAAAGTATCCCAGCAGCCATGCCGGAACAAACGGTCGTCCAGGTCCTACGAGCCGGAACACCCATCAGGAGGAGCGGAATCTGACGATGAGTCGTGGGTCCAGCCCCAGGGAAGCGAGGATCATCAGCGAAACTCAGGAGAGGAGAGAGAGAGCAGAGCACAGGGCACCTCAATGTAGACACAACATAATGGCATCTAATGCAAATTATGAATCTACTAATCACAGCTTGTTATGGCTCAGAGCCATTTGGGTTTTTCCCTGTGTGTGTGTGTGTGTGTGTGTGTGTGTGTGTGTGTGTGTGTGTGTGTGTGTGTGTGTGTGTGTGTGTGTGTGTGTGTGTGTGTGTGTGTGTGTGTGTGTGTGGAGATGCAGCACCTGGCTCCAATCTCACTAGATTGCCTCCCGGTTAGATTCTCTCAGCTGATCCTGATGACCAGCAGCCAGCCCTCAGTTCAGGGAGCAGCAGGCCGGGGAGGTTCTCTCTGGTGTTCTGTCTCCTCAGCAGTTTTTGGTTTTGGTTTTGGTTTTGTTAAGTTAAAGTATAATGTGACAACTTTGGTGGGAGCTTAGGAAACTCTGTGTTTAACCATTAGCCTTCGCTTGTTTTAAATAAGACATCACTCGGAAATTAGGAAAACTAATGTGATGGTCTTTCGTGGTTTTTGTATTAATTTGGTTAATATGAGAGTTTAGTTGTTACTCGTTTTGCGTTGCTGCTGATGTGTCTTGTTAATCTGTGTTTTGAGTTTATATTTATGTAAATAAATGTTGTTTTATTACTTATAACACGAGAACATGCATCCTCAATTGTTATCCCAGGCCCCCTAGACAGCCTGGATCGTAACACAGCTTAACATGAAGACATCACCTTCAGTTCCCATCAGAACTAATCGCAGCTTCGGATTTGCTGGTTCTGAGCAACATTACACCTCACCCCATTCACCGTCTCATCCACCTTAGTTACACCATACATTTAGTGTTTAAAGTCAGTCTAGTTTAATTTGTTAGTAATACATTTTTAAACTTTTAAACTTGACACTCTCTCTTCTGTTGTCTCTGAGTGAATACGAAGCTGTTATCTAATCCCTGCACTAAAAAGTTCCAATCTTCTGGTTTAAAATAACCTCACAGATCCATAAGGTTGATTTCTTATTTACTATGAAATCCTACGCC